AAGACAGGTGTCCAAATGCCCCATCCTAACAAGTGTTGAAATTCACAGTCCCTACCTGAGCTTCTCAACTGAGCAACTGAAATACATCAAACTTCCAGACTGAGATTTTCCCCTGCTCCTGAAGCTACAGTGAGATACTCTGAGCTCCTATGTTTGGGCACTGAATCCAAAATTGGTAAGATTTACCATGAATCTGCCATTCAGGCATTAGAAGAGGTAGGTAGTACAATATTATTAGCTGCATTTTTCATGAGGCATTTCATGAGGTATTTCAGAGAGCTAAAAAAGTCACTTGGACAAGGTCACACAGCTAGAAATGGGGGGGGTGGAGCTAAGGCTGTCTAGTTTTCTTGATATGTCTTACAGAAACATAAAATCTATTTCTCTAAGGGGGATTGGTTCTAGTGGCTTAACATCTGAATCAAACAGAATTGCTTTTCAAAAGCACGGTCCCATATCTAACTGCATTGGCCCTCACAACCACCCCATAAAGGTATGCTAGCTAGATATTATTGTGGTTTACTCCATTAGTCGTGTCTGACTCTTTGTGACCCCATTTGGTTTTTTTTTCCCCCCACTTGGGGCTTTCTTGGCAAAGATAATGGAGCGGTTTGCTGTTTCCTCCTCCAGCTCATCTGACAGATGAAGAAAGTGAGGCAAACAGGGTTAAATGACTTTTCCAGGGTCACACAGCTAGGAAGTGTCTGAGGCCAGAGTCAAACTCAGGTCCACCTGACTCTACTGTGCCACTTTACCTTCTTTTGGGAGGGCTCAGAGAATAAGTGACTTACCCAGCAAAGCCCAGACTAGCCCTCCAGCCTCCAGACCCCTGACCTATTACAACGCCCTCCTTCCTGATCCCTTCGTTGGATCATGGATTTAGAACCAAAGGAGACTTCAGAGGCCATAAAGCCCTCATTTTACATATGAGGAAACTGGGGCCACGAGTAGTGAAGTGATTTGTCCAGGGTCACACATTTGGTAAATTTCTCAGGCAGGGTTTGGCTTCAGCTCTTCAGGATTCTAAATCCAGCACTTCCTCTCTCCATCATGCTACTTCTCTCCTTACTTGTCCCCATTTCCCTTCAGCCTCCCTGCCCTCAGCTCCTGAGGAATGTCATCTTATGAAGATTAAAGGAGATCAGAGGATTATAGATTTTGAGCTGGAAGGAACCTTGGAAGCTATCTAGCTAAATGACTTGTCCAAGGTTACACAGGAAATTAGTAGGAGAGTAGGCATTTGAACCCAGGACCCTTGACTCTAAATCCAGCCATCTGGTCACTGTGGTAACAGCGGTAACACACCACTTACCTGGGCAAAAGTGGGAATAGAAGCCTTCCTTCTGAAGCATGATGAGCAGGGAGCCCCAGCCAAACAGTACAGCAGAGAAGAAGAGGTTCTCCACCATGGCTGTGCAGGCCATCCACCATCGCCGCCGGTAGGCCTGGGCGAGTGTGGGGGCCATGCTGGTTTCTAGACTGCCAAGGAACAGGGCAGTGAGTACGGGGAACTCTGAGATCAGGCTGTAAGTACCCCGGATGACAGCCTGAGCTTCCTTCCTCCTTTCTGATAAAGAGTCAGAGGCTACATGGGTACCCTCAAGAGCTTTTACTCTGGTCCTAGGACTCTCCGACAGTGCCAGTGTAAGGACAGGGGTGAATTGGCACTGTCAGGGCTCCACAAGGAACTCTTTGGGACTCCTTCTGAGATAAAGGCAGTCCTGCGTGCCTGCTTCTGGCACTCGGCCATTCCCCACCCCTCAGGAATGATGGGGTCTCCCCAGGCCTCTGGAAACTTGCCACCCTCCTCCCCCTAGGAATGGTAAGATCTCCCCAAATCCTTGAAAACCAGCTGACCCCCCCTTGTGGGATGAACAGCCTAGTGTCCACAAGGGTCAACAGGGGACAGAGAGAGGGCTAGGACCACCCACATCCCTGCCTTCCAACTCCCTCTCCCAAAAGCACCCCTAAAAGACAAGTACAAAGAGGAAAGGAAAGTGTGGAAGGGTCCCAGCCCCCTCTTCCTGTTGTCTCTTCGCTACAGCACCTTCCTCCAAGTGTGTTCCCTGATGCCCAGGTCAGCTGTCCCCACCCGTGTGCCCCTCCCCTACTACAAGCGCCTTCCTCTCCCCACCCCCCACAGCCCCCACTCCACCCAGGGAACTCTCCCTTGCTCTCCCCTCTGAGACCCGTGTCCCAACAGTTCCGTTTCCCGGCTAAGTCTGCAGCTGCCACGTGGATGGGGACCCGACTTGGGCTCCTTGTCTCCTCCTCCCCTACTCTAGCTTTCCTCCCCCCATCCCAGCTCTCCTCACCCCCCTCAACCCCACTCACCCCTCTGTGGACTCCCCTGCGTGGTCTGGCACCCCACGCCGCTGTGGGGGGGGGGGTGGGCTTGGGGCTAGGGCAGAAGTCTGTCAGCCACTGAATTTATAAGGGCGAGAAAGACAAGACGTGCGTGCGTGTGTGTGTGTGTGTGTGTGTGTGTGTGTGTGTGTGTGTGTTTGCAAGGCGGAGAAATCGAGCAGAAAAGGAAAACTCCCCCAGTCTGGGCCACCAGTGTGGGGCGGGAGGGACAGGACACTATGGGGCGGTGCGGGGCGGGGACGGGGGTGGGGAGGGGAGCAGCAGGAGGCTGGCCTGGGATAGAGCTGACCAGGCAGGACAGGCCGGGTGAGAGGACACAGCAGCCCAGGGAGGGTTAAAAGGGCAGAGGTGGGAGAGGAGAGGGAAGGTGAAGAAATGAGAGAAAAGAGGCTGCAGCCGATGGTGGAAGGCTCCCACCCCCTACCCTACCCCCCCCAGGTCACATCGAGCAACCAAACCCAGAGAGGGACAAGGCCTTGCCCAAAGTCACACAGCTCAGAAGCAGCAGACAAAATGGGATTCGAACCCAGATCTCCTGGCTTTCCAGTGCGAGACAAATAAGGTTAACTACAGGACAAAGGGAGGTGAGACCGACCACCCCGCAGGGCAAAGAGAAAGAAGGCGGGGTCGACCTGCAGCCTGGTGGGCGGGGGTCGTACACATCGGGAGCCGCCCGGCAGCCCACCCCGACTCCCCGCACTGAGTCCCGGCACTCACCTTCCCGTCACTTCTTTTCAGTCGGGTTGTTCCAAAGTTGGAGTCCTGCCTCCAACGCCCCCTTGTTCGTCTCCTTGCGCTCTGCCTCCGTTCCCCAGCCAGGCTGTCCCTCCCTGAGGAGGCCAGCAGAACTACCTTGTCTTTTTAAAGATCCTGTCCAAGCAGGGCTAAGAGGCAGTCAACACGCCGATGGGAGCCCACCTCTGAAAACGATGTCAGGGAGACCGGACCCGTCCCCAATCCCCCACATTTGACCAATCGGACCTTAGAGAATTGACACTGAGTACACACACACACACACACACACACACACACACACAGAGCCCTCCCAGCCTACCCCAGGAGACTGGGAGCTCATTAGTCATTCAGATGCTTCTCTGCCTTCTCAGTTCACTTTCACTGCCACGTGACCTTCCCTCTAGCTCCAAACCGTTCACCCATTCAGGGCACACCCCAGTAGAAGCCTAAATTCTGGGCCCCCAAGAAAAAAGTCAATAGTCTGCTCCACCCATTTGCAAAATAAAGTGGCCTCAGGTGGGGAAGATGGCCCTCATGCAGGAATTGTTGGGGGTGAGGGGACACTCCTCTCCTCCCATGAACCAAGGAAATATCATTTTCAGCCCTTGAATCTCTTTCCTTCCCAACATCCCTTAAACTTTTCAATATAATTAATATTGGAAGTATCACATGATGCCTGCCAGTGTTAGGTGCTAGGTTAGGGTTACTGGTGCAAAGCAAACAGATCTTTTCTCACACCATCAACCACAGAAAGTTTCTTTCTTTCACCTTTCTAAAACAGGAACTTCCCTGGGGTCAACTCAGAAGTTGGCCATGCCAGAACAGATATCTATATATGACCCATGGGCTATTATTATTACTCTTCACTCTTCCAGGTGAGTCATATTCCAAAGCACCCCTTCAAAAACAGTGCTGAGGGCCAACTTGGACCACCATGAGGGAAAACCGTGTAACATTTGGGGTGGCTCACTCTTCTCCACTGCAACGTCATTTTGTTTCTGTCACTCAGGGCAGTATCCACAGACCATTTCAGTACAATTGCTTCTTAGCTTTTCCTCCTCTACCAGAGTCTAAGCTCCCTGAGGGCAAGAGCTTGTGGTCTCAGGGATAACTGGTGCTGTCCATTCGGAGTTAAAGATTTACAGGTTTTCATCCTGGTTCTCGGCCACTTACTTCCAGTGTAACCTGGGACAAGTCACTTCCCCTTTGTAGACCTAAACTATATCTCTATAATGGGCAGATTTGAACAGAGTAAGTCCCTGGAAGTCCTAATCCTATGAACCTTATTCATTTTTGTATCCAATCCAGAATATGTAAATCAGAACATTTAAATGTATTAATTGCCCGAGAGATCACATAAGGAACCAACCTAGTGGAAAGACATATCACTTCACCATCTTAGGTTAAGCAGAGAAGCTAGTTAGAGCTTTAAAACCTCAATGATCCTGGGAGGAATATATCCATTCTCCCACTTCTCCCAGGCCTAAAGAAGCCCAAGCTCTGGATGAGCTGACAGCGCCATCTGCTGACAGAACCTGTACCCCAGTGCCTCCTCCCACCCATTACAGTGGAAAAAGAAATGGAATGCACAGGAAACCCTTGAAATCTAAACTCTACACACTCTCTCCAAATCAGCTCTTCCATTTTATTGACCCCACAATTACCTGGTGATCACATTCCACAGACATTTCACTGTACCTAGATGCCTCAACACAATGATACAAAGACGGATGCTGAGGCCCCTCCATGCTCTCAAACACATTCTGTCCCTGGCCAATATCCTATAAGAGATCATGTCACAGCAGGACAGATCAACAACACCAAGTTCCCAACGAACCCCAGGCTCCAGGGTCCTCTCTAAGGATAGTAGAAATAACCCATTCCTCACCAACAGAACATATAATCATCAATATTTTTATTGACAAGTGCAAAAGGGTTAGGGTTGCAGTCCAGGGCTGGGTGCTCACTGTCTCTGGGGGCCTTCATACTGGCCCTGAGCCCTGCTGCATCCTCTTCATCAGCTCTTCATCCTGCATGGACAGCTCTGTCAGTTTTTTGCCCATTCGCTCATGGATGTCCAAGTACTTGGAGACACATCGATCCAGACACACAGATTCACCCTTGGAAAGTTCGGCTTCCTTGTAATGGGGAGGGACACACTTCCGGTGGCATGCACTGGTCATCCTGGGAAAAGTCACAGTCCATTCAACATTCTGCAACACCTTCAGGAACCCCAACTCCACTTGGTGGTGGCCCCACCAACAATTCCATCATAGCCTCTGGCAGGCGCACGGTAAGTACAACCCACTCAATGGTGCAAAGTTTCAACCCTGAACCCTCTTTTCACCTCCTTTCCCCCCAAACAAAAATCAACAGTCATTACTCGCCCAATCCCCCCCCCGGCCACACACACCCTGAATTCTATCCCATTCTTTCCTTCCCTTCTGCCCAAACCCAACACTGTGGCACTACCTTAGACGCTAAGAAATGCTTACAGTCTGATGTTTTCAACCAACTGGGACTTAAAAAACGCTAACCCACCTGCATATATACCCAATTGTGTATACTTCTACTGATTTGCAAAGCTTTTATTCTGAATAAATTTCCAATTGTATTTTGGGGGATTTCATTCAGATTTTGTGTGTTTATTCCAACTAGGATTGGCTTTATTCACACTGAAGTTAAAACAGCCCGTAAGCAGATACAGAAGTAGAAGGGAGAAGGGGACCCTCCCCACAGACTGGGTCACTGAGATGCAATGAACCATCTGCCTCTCTTCAGACCACACAACAGACAGGCTTCTTTCTCCTTATGGGAGCACACAAGGCAATACCATGGTTTGTTCCTGCAGTCTAGCAAATATGAGCCAGGTGAGCCAGGTTTGGGCAGGGTGGGGCAGGGTGGGTGGGTGGGGAATCTCTCTCAGTACCTGTTGTACATGTCGGCCATCATCTCTACCTCCAGCTCAGCTGCCAGCTGTTGGGCCCTAACTGGATCCATCACAGTCCCTCACACCACAGTGGTGCCTGGCTTCCTTGGTCCTGGGGTGGTGGAAGGAAGGCAAAGAGAACTTGTCAGCAACCATTTACCCTTTAGGGGATCTCACCCCAAGATTTGATGGTGATCTTTGACCCATTTCCCTCCATCTTCTACCCCAGTTTAAAGCCAGCTAGGAATTGATGCAACATGAAAAGTATGTTCACTCAGTGTCGAAGGCCCTGGGTTCTAATCACGACCTTGGTCCTTCCTGGTATATAATTTAACCTCTTCAGGCCATGCTTGTAACCAGGCTCTAAAAAGGGAACATCTTTATAAATGGTCAAATGCTACAAAAAAGGGGAGCTATTGTGTAATTATTACTACTATTAGTTAACAGAGCCATAATTTCATCCATATGGGTACTATCCTAACCAGGCAGATCTGATTAACTTCTTGCCTTAAGTAGATGGCTTCACAAGGTGCCACCTCTAGAAAAATTCTGGCCAACCTTCAGTGATGACCATCATCAACCTAACGAGGCTGCCTTCTGACAAGTTAATCAACAAGCAGACCGACTGACACAAGCCCATGTTCCAAACTGAAGGGACCCACCAGAGCCTATAATTCTCTAGCACGGGCTGTGAGAAACAAGGGCCCAACTCCCACAGGACCCAGATTACAATGTAACTGACACCACTGCCACACAGCAGCAAGAAGGAATTTGGTATTTCACTGACGAATTCCCTCCACCAACTCTATTCAGTCCCTTCATGCCACAGGAGATAATCTTCAGCTATAGCTGAAAAGGCCATCATTCCACGGTCAACAGAGGAACAAGCCATTCTCATTTAGCAGGACCGGTCCTGTCCTCCCCAGGCAGCCTGTCACTGGGTTCCTACGACTACTTGGTGAATGATTTCTTGGAGACCTGAAGTCTTCCTTCAGTGCCTTTGGGCACTGAGACGCTCGAGTTCTCAAAGACGTACCAGTACAGCACAAGCTCTAAGAGGTGCTATCAAGTGAAGTCACCAAACATTTATTAAGCAGTTACTACCTGCCAGGCACTGTGCTACGTGCACAGAGAAAAACAAAAGAATGGTTCCGGCTCTTGAGGACCTCACCATCTAATGAGGGAGACAATACGCAAACGATTATGTGAAGACGAGGTATTTACGGGATAAACTGGAGATAATCTCGGAGGGAAGCAGCTGGAGGGGTGAGGGGGATCATGACAGGTCTCTAAAAAGCAGGAATCTGAGTCTTGAAGGAAGCCAGAGAAACCAGAGGATGGAGATGGAGGTAGGGATGGGGATGGAGGAGGAAGCATTATAGACATGGGCAACTAAAAGGCCCAGAAATGGGAGGTGATGGAGAACGGTGAAGAAGCCACAGCAAGAAGACCAGCGCCACTGAGTACAGACGTGGGGGGTTGTTGTTAAGTATCCTGGGGATTAGGTGGAACAGTCAGTCTCACTTCTCTCCAGGCCTCAGTTTTTCATCGATAACATAAAGGGGCTGGACTACATGTGTTGGTTCCTTGCACTTCTAATACTTTGCTGACTGGCTGAGACCTGGCCGTTTTCTGTTTGATGATTTAGTGCTAGCATTTCTGACCAAGACTGCAAACCTGAAGAACTCTAGCACGACGGTCCTGCACAGCAAAGGCCTGAGCTCCTTCCTTCCATGAGTCCATCCCTGCGTGCCTTAAAAATCCAAGGAACACAGACTTTCCCATTAAAGGGCTGTGTGACCTTAGACAGCAATAGCAAGAGCTGACATTTGGGAAGCTTGCTTTCCAGGGGCTGGAACTTCATAAATGCTTACTGGGTTCAATTTCTAATGCATCTCATACCCATTATCTCATTGGAACCTCATCACCACCCTGTGCAGCAGAGAGGTAGTGTCAAGTTAAAGAACAGTGATTTTACTGCTGTGACATGGAATTTCTACATGAGGGACCCTACCCCCACCCCCTACCAGTCCACAGCATTTTCTTTATAATATATAATCTTAGAGAACTTTCTAGAGCTTAGGTGTCAAACTTATGCCCTGAAGCAGATTAAAATGTAATTGGGGAAATGTTTAACAAGATAAATAAAAATACAACACAGATAATGTTAATTTGCAGTTTTCTAAGTCAATCAGTGTAAAACAGCAATCCCTATTTGAGTTTGACACCACTGGCCTAGAACACTAAAAAATTAAGGGACTTGCCCAGGGTCTCAAAGTATTTGTCTGAGGCAGGACTTCCCAGTCCCTATGCCAGCTTTGGATTCACCATACCTGTTTGGTATCATGGACCCCGGGGGGAGTCAGTTTGGTGAAGCCAATGCTCAGAGTGTTTGCAAACGCATAGTTTGCATAGTAACGCATAGTAAACACAGGTTTACCAAAGAAATCAATTATAATGGGCAGTTATCAAAACATTTTCGAAAAACAAATTCGTATACCCCTGGTCAAGAATACCTGTCAATACAAGCTGTATTGCTGAGGCCCAGTAGAGACACTTCCGCTCTCTGGGCCTCAGTCTGCTCACCTGCGAAAGAAAAGGGTCGGACGGGACAGTGTCTGGAGTCCCTACCAGCTCTGGCCCTCTCCTGCTATCAAGGCTGCTTGCCCAGAGGGCTGGATCTCCGAGCCGAAGTCCTGGATTCAAATTCGGCCGTTCTTGGGCACGTCACTCAGCCTCGGTGAGCCTCAGTTTCCTCCTCTGTAGCCGATGGCCTCTGAGGTCCCTTCCGGCCGCAGACTCGCGATCCTAAGAACAAACAGGGAGGTCAAACAACTTCAGAAGGGGCGTCGCTTGGATCTTCGCCTCGGGGGCAGGGTCGGAGGTGAACGGAGGTCAAGGGTTACGATCAGGAGCTGCTTGCGGAGCGGAGGCTCACCATGAGGTGCTGACCAAACGGTTGGTCGAGGAAGGAGGGTCAAGGGTCAGAGATTACGCTGGCAGTGGGTCAGGGGTCACGGCAGGTGTCATGACATTGCTGCCTCCTCCCGTACCCGCCCCCCCAGCGAAGGGGCCGTTTGGGGAAGAAGGGCACACACAGGAGACCCAAACGTTCGGGTTACCCCCATACACTCCCGGCCCGGGATCCACAGGCGCCCCGGTAACAACACGGACTCACTTAGGCGAAGCGTGGGACCCCGGCGGCCAGAGTCTCGGGCCACTTCCGAGGAAACCGGAAGTCCTGCCCCGGGCGGGGGGCGGGCGGCGGGCGGGGCCCGCGTCCGCTCTAGGAAGTCAGGGGCCGCGACCATAGAGACGGAAGGCGGGCGGAAGGAGAGGAGATGGGGACCAGAGGCGGGAGAGGCGAGGTGCAGAGCCCTTTGTGACGTCACGGAGGGCCTGACGGGGGCGGGGCTCCCGCTGCTCTGCCCAGGCTAAGCTCCACGTGGGCGGGGGGGCACGGGCCCAGAAGCCGGCCGTGCTAGGAGGCCGGCACGGGGTGGGGCACGACCCAGGGCAGTCATTCGCGCCGCAGCGGTCGCCACCCTCCCTCTGCCACACAAACATTTATTAACCTCCTACTGGGTGTCAGGCTAAGCGCTGGGTTTACAAGGAAAGGCAGAAGACAACCTCAGCCCTTGAAGAGCTAACGTCGGCTGGGAAGCGCCGCGTCCTGAGACCCATTTTACAGAGGCAGAAGCTGGAGGCGGTGAAGAGGCTTGCCTGGGGTCGCAGGCAGAGCCCACAGCTCCCATCTCCGGACTCCACATGCAGGGCCCTTCTCGGCCTCCTCACGCAGACACCATCCAGGGTGGTGTCCAGACATTACAGACCACCCCCGAAAGAAAAGGCCGACGGCCACCCCCACCCCTTCCCCCGTGAAACGGCACGGTGGGCAAGCCCAACCAAAGCAAGGGGGTATGTGCCCACGTTTGGCCATCATTTTTGTATAGTTGAGGGTCAGCAACGTGAACTGCACTGCCTTTTGATGAAGAGGCGGCTTACTCCAGTGAAAGAGGCCGTGGCGGGGCAGCTAGGTGGCTCACTGGATAGAGTGCTGGCCCTGAAGTCAGGAGGACCTGAGTTCAAATGCGGCCTCAGACCAAACACTTGGCACTTACTACCTGTGTGACCCCGGGCAAGTCACTTAACCCCAATTGCCTATCAAAAAGGAAAAAAAGAAAGAAAGAGGCAGTGGCCCCGGGTTCAAATCCTAGCCCTATTGTCTACTCCCCTGGGTCGCTTTGGACAGTTCGCTTCTCTCTGGATCTGGATTTCCTCACCTCTAAAATGGGGGAGGGGAACCCCTCGATGGGAAAGGCCTTCTCCAAGTTCCCTTGCAGCGCTAGATAGAAGATCGATCAAGCAGGAGCGGACTGGACTATTGATAGAAATAGACCCTCCGGGAAAAGCGGAAAAAGAATGCCCCCCCCCAAAGCATCGTATCCACCTGTCTCACTTTACCCAAGAGGAAATAGGTCCAGAAGCACAAAAAGCATTGGGCTTATTCTGTTTGTCCACAGAACACAAACCTGGGAGCAGAAGACCCCCCGTTGCAGAAGCAGATTTAAACAATGTAAATAAACATTTAGTATCAGTTCCAACCGACCAGCAGAGGAATAGATTGCAGCACCTGGCATGGTTTTTTTGTTTGTTTAGTCCTGTCTGATTCCTCATGACTCGAGGTTTTCTTGGCAAAGATACCAGAGTCACTTGCCATTTCCTTCTTCAGGTGGATTAAGGCAAACAGAGGTTAAATGACTTGTCCAAGATCACACAGTTAGTGAGTAGTTGAGGTGAGATTTGATCTCAGGTATCCCTGACTCCAGGGCTCTATCCACTGAGCCATCTAGCCTGGCACGTAGTAGGTACTTAATAAATGCTTATTGACTGACTGGCTGGGGTGATAGGAGGCTTCCCCTCACAGGAGGTCTTCAGACAAAACAAAAGCTGGACCGCTCTTCAGAGAGGTTGTCAGAAGGATCTGGTTCCTGTTGGATTGCATGGCCTCCAGCTCTGAGTTTCTGTAATTGTGTTACTTCTCAGCTAGCATTCAAGCCCAGATCCTCTGACAAAAGCCATTGCTCTGTCCATTAGAGCGTACTACCTTATCTCCAGGGCCATTTTACTGCCCCTACATAGACTTTACCACATAGGGGAAACTGACTCACTAAACCGACTGTGAGATGGTGAACATTAAGAGCTGCTAACCATAGCACCGCACGTGCCTTACTTACAGCCACCTAATAAAGAAGGCAGTCCATGTGTTAGTTTCCCCAAAGAGGAGGCAGAGGGCTAGAATTCTACACTTGGATGTGTGCATGTGGAAAGTGTCTTCCCTGATACGATGGAAGCTCCTTGAGCGCAGGAACTGTTGCCTTCGTCTTTCTGGGACCTAGCACAGTTCTTGGTACTCAGTAGGTCCTTCATAAATGCTTTTTGGTGGATGGATAAATGGGGGAAGGGAAGAAAGGGAGGGAAGGGAAGCTAATTTTTTAGAGGTTTTTTTTATTTTTTGTTTAGTATTTTAATTTTCCCAATTATATGTAAAAAATAATTTTAACATTTATTTGTAAAACTTTAAGTTCCAAATTCTCTCCCTTCCTCCCTCCCCACTCCACCCCCCTCATTGAGAAGGCAAGCAATTCGATATAGGTTATACAGGTGTAGTCATGCAAAATACTTCCATAACAGTCGTGTTGTGAAAGACTAACTATATTTCCCTCCATCCTATTCCCTCCTCGTTTATTTTCTCTTTTCCTTCACCCTGTCCCTCCTCAAAAGTGTTTTGCTTCTGATTAACCACTCCCCCAATCTGCCCTCCCTTCTGTTTGTCCCCCACCTCTTATTTCTTTCCCTTCCTACTTTCCTGTAAGGTAAGATAGCTTCCTATACCCAATTGAGTGTGTAGATTATTCCAACTTTGAGCCAATTCTGTCTGATGAGAGTAAGGTTTACTCACTCCCCTTCACCTCCCCCTCTTCCTCTCCCCTGTGGAAGCTTTTTCTTGCCTTTTATGTGAGATAGTTTGCCCCCTTCCACCTCTCCTTTTCCCCTTCTCCCAGTACATAGGGAAGCTATTTTAAAGCCATTACTTCCTCCCCACCATGGCTTTCTTGTTGACTCTCAGCCACAAGGTTACACCTGAGTTCTTGTTCTAGTTCAGCTATCGATCTGTAGTGTGGTCTTGGACAAATCATTTTACCTCTTTAGGCCTCAGTTTCATCACATGTAAAATCAACAGGTTGGACCAGACAATCACTTCAGGTCCCTTCAAGTTTAAAATCCCACAGTTCCAGTAGGCTAATAGCCAGTTTGGATGTCTTAGAAGACTGAATTCATAGAATCAGGCTAGGCTTACTGACCCTGTCCTGCTGCTGAAAGGCTCACAGAGGAAATGATATGTTTTCCCCAAACATCCTCCTTCCATCTCTCTCCTGTCTTTTTTAAGTGGGAACGTATTGTCCCCCAGCAGCTCTTATTTCACTGATGGAATTCATAGAGGAGGGGGAGGAGGAGGGGAAAGAGGAGACCTCGGAAATGATTTAGCCCAATCCCCTAATTTTACAGAGGAGGAAATCAATACTCAGAGACAGTAGGAGACTTGCCAGACAGAGGTCGAAAAACTAATGTCCTCCAGTTATGAACCCCATGCTCTTCCCTCCTCATTCTCCAGTTTCCAACCCCAGACACTCCCCCTAGGCTCCTGTGCTTTGTCCAGATTCTACCCACCCCATTTTCCCAAGCTGGCCATGCCGAAGTTTCTCCCATCTTCTCTCCTTCCTTCATGGAAGGGAGTTTTATCATTGTATTTCACCAGGGGTCAGTATTGTTCTCTCCTAGATGGAGAAAACCCAGGCACAAGATAGAAAAGGAGCCTGGACACAGCCATCCAAGATCCAAGGAACACTGTTAAGAGCACTCCCCAAGACATTTATCCAACCCTCACAGGCTCCCTGGATTTTATAGAGCATAGGGCGAAATTGAAGAAGATTTAGAAAAAGCTCCACTAAGGTGATGAAAAGATTGAGGAATCAGACTCAAAAGGAACTGTTGTATTTAGCCAGAAGATGAGAAAGCACATGGCAGATTTAATAAGTGGATATCATTAGTGTTTAGAAGGGAAGATGGTGACCAGATGCTTTCCCTCTCCAATGAGGACAGAACAAGAGGGAATGGGATTAAATGGCAGCAGGTGAGTTTGGGACATATAGAAGAGCTTTCTGTCTGGGAGCGAGGCAGAATCGAGAGAACAAGGACTTGGGAGCAGGAGGCTTCACTGCAAACCCCAGCTCAGACACTTATCAATTGTGTGACCCCAGGCAAATTGCTTAACCTCTCGGAGCCTCAGTTTCCTCAGCTGTCAATATACCACAGAACTGTGGGAATGCCCTCCACCTACCCAGATTACAACTCATCTGTAATTCACCATGTGGGAGAGTTAACTTGAGGTGGAGAGGTGGAATGGCATTTACCTGGTCGTCCAGCGGATGAATGTCAGAAGCAGGGTTTGAACCAAGGCTTTTGACTCCTAGTCCAACACGTGACTTACTCTGCCGTAACACCTCTCTTCCTCCTCTATAAAATGCAAATGATGATCTTTGTAGTGGGGACAAGGGCATGGATAAATATCTAGTCTTCTTGAATTGTAGAGCTGGACGTCAGCCGAGCTGGCAAGGGGAAGTCAACTTACAAGCTAACAACTTGCCTTCTCTTCCTCCCCCATCCTTTTTCCCCTCTCTGATGCAGCAGGAGGGAGCCTACTGGATTTCTTCACAAAGAAGACCTGAGCTTGGATCTTGGCTCCCCCATTCCCTAGCTATGTAGCCTTGGGCAAGGGCCATTTTAGGGAGGATTTTTTCCAAGTTGGAGGATGACCAAGATGCTAAGATGGCTTTCAACAATTCCATTTCACAGGAATTTTAAAGTACCTACTGTGTGCAAGGCATTGTGTTAGGCAATGCAGATACAACAACATAAAAAGGAGAATCTGCCCCCAAAGAGCTAACTTTCTTCTGGAGGCATAAAGCATGTCCATTAAAAGGACTGGGGAGATTTAACCTGAAAAAGCTAGGTTAGTTAGGGCAGGTAGGTGGTAAAGTGGGTAGAAGGTGGGGCTTGGAGTCAAGAAGACTGATTTCTGAGTTCAAATCCTGCCTTAGATACTT